GACACCGCGCCACCTGCTGGGCCCTTTTCTTTTCTTTTTTTTTTTTTTTTTGAGATTTTTGCCATAGGGTGTATGCGCTCACTGAAGAGACAGAGACAGAAAGTGAGAAATCAACCCCCTTGGGGGACAACCATGCTACAGTCCCTTCTCCTCCATTCTCTTCCTGAGATCTTGCATGCACTCACACGTGCCTAGCGTGAGTTTGGAGCCACCAGATCCAGGACTCAAACCGTGGCCAGCCACTTGAGAGTCCCCTGACATAACTGCTATGTCATCTGCTGGTCCCGACAGCCAGACAATTACAAAGAAAGAAAGAAGGGGGCTAGCTGGTGGCGTGGTAGTTAAGGGCGCTGGACTCCCACGTGACTGACTGCTGTTCGCCTCCTGGACCTGGCGGCTTGCTGTCTCTCTCTCTCTCTCTCTCTTTCTCTCTCTCTCTCTTGCTCACTCGCTCTCTCGCTCTGTCCCTCTCAGGTCAAATAAAAATAGTAAATAAATAAAGTAATCCTTTAAAAGAAGAAAAGAAAGAAAGTCACCCGAATAAAAAAAGGGCAAGAAGTGAGGGGTGAGCAGCAAGGGGGAAGAGCCAACCTGCCCTGGGCAGCTAGACGAGGGCACGAGGGGAGGCGCTGGGCGGCCGGTGGGGCGCGGGCGTTGGCGCGAGCTTTGGGAAAGGAGCGCAGAGGTGGTGTGGGTAGTTCCAGGTCTCTGAAGAGACGCGCTGGACCTAGAGTACAAGTGGAGGAGTTGATCTTAGAGGGTCCTCTTGTCTTCAGAGAGAGAGGTTGAGGTAGGGTGTAATGGAAATAAGTTTCGTAGTAGGACTGAAAATGAAGGGAGCCCGTATCTGATGACTTTCTCTGTTAAGGACAGCAGGGCTGGCCCCATAGCCCAATGGTTAAGGCAGCCAGCTCCCACATGGCCCACTGCACAGTTCAAATACAGATCCGGCAGCCCGAGAAACCTGCTGGGCACGTGTGTCCGAAATCCTGACAGGGCGAAGACACGGAGGAGAAGGGATCGCCCTGCTGGCAGAAGGGGTGTCCTGTCCCTCTTCCTCATGTATGAGCACAGGCACCTGCTGGCAGATTAATAAAAAAGCCTGATCGTTTGAAGGAAAAGTTAGGAGCTTAAGGAATGTGATAAGGGTTTAGAGTAAGAACTTGGAACAGTGTTAGAACTGGCCAGGGACAGCAGAGAGGACTGGCAGGTGGAGCCGAGGGTCCAGCTGCAGTTGGAGACCATGAAGGTGGGGATGTAACTTTTTTTTTTTTTTGGAGAGGTTTTCGCTATAGGGTGCATGTGCTCGCCAGACAGAGAGACATAGAGACAGAAAGCGAGAAATCACCCCCCAGGGGGGATGGCCACGCCGCAATCCCTTCTCAATGCTCCTCTCAGGATCTTGGGCACACACGCACACGCACCCAGCGTGAGTTTTAAGCCACCGGGTCTGGGACGCGAACTGCAGTCGACTGTGTGGGAGTCCAGCGACATAGCCATTACGCTAACTGCTGGTTCCCGAGGTGGGGATGTAACTTTTCACTCGACACCGTCAGCACCCACCATGGCCCCGTCCTTCCTGCTCCTCCCAAGGCAGAGGGTGGCCCTCTGCTCGTCCCACCTCTGGTGTTCCGCTCTGTATAGGCATTCCTTATAATAAATCTCAAATATTTTGATAACAAATATCAAAATACTCAATAAATCCCTTAAGAAAGGCTTGCCTTTTTTAAAAATAGATTTATTTATTTAAGTCTATTATTATTTTTTAATTTGACCAGAGAGAAAGGGAAAGTGAGACAGCAAACCACCGGGTCTGAGACTCAAACTTTGGTCACCCATGGGAATCCAGTGCCTCTAACCACTGTGCTACCTGCCCGGCCCAAAAGGCTCGCTTTTGAGAGTTCCCTGTAAAGGCAGCACCTCTCCCAGTATTCCTGGCCCGTGAGACCAGGTTAAAGGAGTGGGCATTACTGCCCAGGGGAGGTGCTTGAGGACAGGACCCCCCCGTGTGCTGGGGTCATCTCGGGGGTCTTAGACACACACTCCCCACCATAGCTAGTTTTGTAGTCTCTAGAGGTGGGAGGGTTTTAGATTAGTTACTTGTCTTAGTCCTTCTTTCTTTTTTTCTTTTTCTTTTTCTTCTTTAGGGCATGTGTGCTCACTGGGGAGAGACAGGGGAAAGTGAGAAAGCATCCCTGGGGCGATGACCACACTACAATCCCTTCTCCTCTGTTCCCCTCCTGGAGACTTGGACATATATGCACACATGCCTGGAGTGTGTTTTTAAGCCACTGGGTCCAGGACTCAAACCACATAGTTGGCCATGTGGGATCCAGCCCCTGAACCACCATGCCACCTGCTGGCCCCTTTGTCCTTATTTCTTGACCTTTGTCTCGGACTAATTGTGCTGAGCCTCTTCTTTGATCCCTCAGGATCCTGGGTATGTTCACATCCCAACAATGGAAGCACCTAAGCAACGATTTCTTGAAGACCCAGCAGGAAAAGAGGCACAGTTGGTTCAAGGCAAGTGGTACCATCAAGAAGTTCCGGGCTGGCCTCAGCATCTTCTCACCCATTCCCAAGTAAGTGCTGCCTTCAAGCCGGTCATCTCTAATCACTTTGGTCTTGTCTCAGCGCACCCCCATCTTCTCCACTCCCTCAGCTCATGTTCTCTGTCCCCTCGCTGGGTCTTCCGAGTTCTGTACCCTTTTTTTTTCCTTTTTAAGAGAGAGTTTTGACTCAGGGTGTATGCACTTGCCAAGGAGACAGAGAGAAAGCAAGAAATCACCGTGTGGGGGATGGCCATGCTGCAATCTCTTCTCTATTTCCTCGGGGGATTTTGGGCATGCACGCACATGTGCCTGGCGTGTCTGGGACTCATTCCATGGTTGACTGTGGGATCCCAGCGATGTAACCATTGTGCCATCTGCTGGTTCCCGAGTTCGTACCTTCAACCACTAACTCCACTCATGGGGTCTGCCCTTTGTCCCCTCGCCCAGCATCAGTGTTGCCCTTTCCGTGAGACAGTGCCTGGCTCATGGCCTGTACCTAGAGAAACACACCAGTCTGTCCTGTCCATCTGTGGTTCTGTAGATCTCGTTCTCAGCCCCATCCTGAGGAGACCGTCAGAGAACAGCCACCGGCTTTGTGCCCTTACGCAGCTTACATTGACTGGTTACCGAGGTTCTGAGATGCACGTTGCTCCATTCTTTGAGCCCAGGTCTGCGGTTTTCTCCCTGGTGCCTTCTGATCTCCCCAAAGGCAGATACAAACCCAGATGTGTAGCCTCCTGGGCAGCAGCGTGGCGGTCTCACTTGTGGACAGTGGACTGTTTGGGCCAACTACCTGTCTAGCTCTGTGTTTAGCCCTGAGTCAGAATCTCTTAGTCTCTCTCTCTCTCAGACACAGACACTTGGTCTGTCTGTCCGTAAATGAGACCAGTGGCGTCTCCAAGCAGTCATTCCATACCTGGTCTGGGTGCCTTGGTGAGCTAGGCTTTACCTCCGTCTACCGTCCCTGCCCCGTTTTGAAGAGCACACAAATAACGACAGAAAAATCCGTTCTGAGGGCCAGCCAGTGGTGTGGTGGCTAGGCTGCTGGATCCCACATGACCAACTACCCAGGTTGAGTCCCAGACCTGGTAGTTTGAGAAACATGCCAGGGGCCGGCAGGTGGCATGGTGGTTAAAGGTGCTGGACTCTCTCACATGGCCAACCGTGGTTTGAGTCCCAGACCTGGTGGCTTACTTTCTCACTTCCTCTTGCTCTGTCCTTCTCTGGTCAAATTAAAATATGTAAGTAAATAAATAAAGTTAAATAAAATATATTTAAAACAATAAAAGAAAAACATGTGCGGTGCACGTGCACTGTGCCCCAAATACCAAGAGGATTGCTCCATGGCCATCTCCCCTGGCGGTGCCTTCTCACTTTTCTTCTCTCTCTATCTCTGATAAGCGTACACGCCCTATCTAGAGAATGTAACGCAAGAAACCAGTTCTGAGGGGTGATCAGCTTGCTTTGGTAGTCTTTAGGACCCAGTGGAACTCCCTTGGGTGTGAGTGACAGAGCCTCAGCCGTCTGCCCTCTCCAGCTAAATGGCCTCTGCCTCCACCCCCTCTGCCCTCTCCCAGGTCCCCCAGCTTCCCCGTCATTCAGGACTCCATGCTGAAAGGCAAACTGGCCGTACCGGAGCTTCGAGTGGGGCGCCTCATGAACCGGTCCATCTCCTGCACCGTGAAGAATCCCAAGGTGGAGGCGTTCGGCTACCCTCCCAGCCCCCAGGCAGGTCTCCTGTGCCCCCAGCACGTGGGCCTCCCTCCCCCAGCACGGACCTCTCCTTTGGTACATGGACTGGGGAGGGTCTGGCCGGGACGTTGGGGGCGGGTGGAGGTGGAAACGTGGGAGCATTGCTTCTCAAAATGGGGTGGGAGTTTAGCTGTCCAGACGTCGTGAATCAAACCTGGCCACGTACTGGGCGTGGGTAGAATGCAGCACGTTCCTCGTGGCCAAGGACTTGTATCTAAACTGTCCGGCCAGCCTCTCTGACCGTAGCCCCAAGAAAGCAGGTGTGATTTTGCGAGGTGGTGGTTGGGACTGGGCGGTCGGTTGCTGTACTGACCTACGCTGCCTGCCTCCAAGAGGGCCAAGGTCAGCTCGGCCCTGTTCCGAAACCTTTGGTGAGAGTCTGAAAGTCTTCTCTGCAGCTTTGGGAGAGCTAGGGCTTAGCCACCCTAGGGGTATCCTAGGTGGTGGCGTGAGCGAGGTCTGTAGGCCTCGGCCTTACAGGAGACTCACTCTGTCCTCTCACCAGGTCAGTGGCCACTGCAAGAACATCCCCACTCTGGAGTATGGCTTCCTCGTCCAGGTAATCAGCCGGAGCTTCTGACGCGCTCACACCTCCCAGCTTCTCCGTCGCGTAAGGACCCCGAGTTACGTGCTCCCCGAGCTGTACCAAGTGCTCAGCGGGTAGGAGAAGAGGAGGCAGCTGGCGGCACTACTGGGGCAGCAGCACCCGCACTGCAGTTAAAGCTTACGGTGCTGGCCCAGCAGGGCATAGTGGTTATGGTGCTGGACTCCATGTGACCTGCCGTGGTTTGGGTCCCGGACTCGGCAGCTTCAAACTCGATCTGGGAGCATGTGTGTGCATGTGTGCCCAAAATCCCGGAGGAAATGGGATGCCCCCGGGGCGTCACTTCTCACTCTGTCTCTGGACAGCGCATGTGCCCTATAGCAGAAATTTCTAGGAAAAGAGCAAAGCTTACACTGTCAGGAGAGGGCTGAGCAGTAATTCCCTTCAGATAGTCCCGCACCCCTTGCTCCGGTGGCCCTCTGGTTTCCTCCTGAGCCCATTTCTCAGCTCAGTCGCTACCAGTCATTCTGTTCGCCTCTAGACCTTGTCACCCCTGACAGGCTTCCACTTCTGCATGGCTGTCACTTCCTGTCTCGGTCCCTCCCGGTCTTCCTCCCATCTGCCTATTGCAGTCAGGGCTTGGGTGCCACCTGTCCCTCAAAGCCTTTCGACGGCTGCCCTAGCCAGACATGTGCTCGCCCTCCCCGTGGAGCTCACACGTCCTTGGTGGTTCACGTGCCGCCTGAATGCCGCGTGCCCCGTGCTGCCACCTTGCGTAGTCGCGAGCTTGCACACGTGCCACTTCTCCCCTGTGGAGCTGAGTGAGCGAGCAGACAGGTGAGCTCTGGTATTAGGGCAGTCGAGCCCTTTCACAGAGCCGGGGGTGTGGTAGGCGTTTGGTGAATCTGTGTTAGGTGAACAAGCAAAAACCCCTTGTGTGTGCCATTGCTGCCCAAGGACTTGCGAAACAGGACAGCCTGACGTGTACACAGAAGCCATGTTAGAACCGTGGTGAGGAAAGAGTTGAGGTCCCTGCCGCAGGGCCTCTCTGGATCCATCCGTCTCCTCGGCACAGATGTGTCTGGTTCTGACCAGGGGATTGGCTACTTGTTCAGGTGGTCGGAACGGCTTCTCAGACCCTCTGCTGTCTGGTCACGGATTGAGTATCTGCCCCAAAGTGGGGACAGTCTGTAATTACCACAGCCACTCTCCATAGTTCGATTAGCACCTGCTGTTCATAAACGTGAAACGGAAGTTATCTCATCGCTTGCAGCTCCTCTCAGGTCACATTCTAGGTTATAAGCAAGCCAAGGCTCAGCTAACTGACTTGCCCAAAGCTATGGATGATGCTATAGCAGAGGCGGGACTTGAACCCAGGTCTCCTGAACCAAAAGCTGCATGGACCTCACTCTGCTACGCAGTCAGGCCACCCCCTCGGCTGAGTGCAGTAGAGCCAGCCAGGCCCAGGGCTGCCCAGGGGTTGGAGAAGAAGCCCAGGTTATTTCTCTTGTCCGCCTGCACTCAGAAGGACTGAGCGTGGCTCTCTCCCCAGATCATGAAGTATGCGGAGCAGAGGATTCCGACGCTGAACGAGTACTGTGTGGTGTGTGACGAGCAGCACGTCTTCCAGAACGGATCCATGCTCAAGGTAGAGGCCCTTGCCCTGTGGCCCTCTTCTTAGCCAAGAGCCTCTCACTCCTCATTTCTCCTCCTTCCTGGGTCTGTAGTAAAGGTGAAATTCTGCCTCATCTCAGACTCTAGAAGTAACTGTTCTCAGAAACCGAGTCTTAGCAGTCTTGTTTGTTGAAACTAGGATATGAGGGTATCTTAGAGTGTCTAATCCCTACCCGGTTTAAAAATAGGGTTAGGGGCTAGCAGGTGGCGTGGTGGTGAAGGTACTGGACTCCCACGTGGCCGACTGCAGCTTGAGTCCGGGACCTGGCAGCTTACTTTCTCACTTTCCCTCTCTGTCTCGCTCTCTTGTGCCCTGTGGCAAATTAAATAACAGTAGTGATAAATAAAATTAATAATTCTTTAGAAAACAATGAAGAACTAGGGCTTGGGTTAGCCATTGGCCTGGTGGTTAAGGCCACTGCATAGAGTGCAGACCCAGTGGCTTGAGAGACATGCCAGGCCTGTGTGTGTGCACGCCCAAAATCCTGAGAGGAGAAGGCACTCTGTTACCTCCCCCGTCTTTGATGAGCACATGTACTCTGTAGCTAACTAAAACTACAGTCGGGCCCCGGTGCTGGCTGCTGGACTGGACACAGCAGGTGTGGAGAGTGGCGAGCAGGACTGCCGAAGGTGGAGGGCTCAGAGGAGTCCGCTCCAACCCTAGGGGTGTCAGTGAGACGTTTTAATTCAGACTTGACTTATTGGGGCCAGCAGGTGGCCAGGTGGCTAAGGTACTGGATCCCACATGGCTGACCGTGGTTCGAGTCCCCAACCTGGTGGCTTACTTTCTTACTTTCCCTCTCTTTCTCTAGTGAGCACAAATTAAAAGAATAAGTAAAAATTAAATACTTACTTTTAAAATGTGCTGTATCTAACTAAAATAATAAGGATAAATTCAATTAAATAAATAATTCCCCCCTCCCAAAAAAAGACTTGGGGCCAACAGGTGATGTGGTTAAGGCACTGGACTCGCCACAGCCGCAATTTGAGTCTTGAACCTGGCGGCTTGCCTTCTCACGCTCCCTTCCCCCTTTCTCTCTGTTTCTCTCTCGGGTAAGCACAAATTAATACTAATAAATACAATTTAAATCTTTTAATAAAAGAATTTATGATAGTTTTCTCCTGACATAGGGGACCTAGGTCCTTCCCTTGTCTAAGTCGGGGTTCTCCCTCTCTCCTCCCACCTTTTGAACGCACACCCTGTGCCACTGCCACCCGCCGACTGCGTCCGCTCAGCCAGCTGTGTGCACGCGTGAACTGTGCGTCTTCTCCTTCTACACGCTGGGCGTCATGTCCGGAGCGGCGGAGGAGGTGGCTACTGGAGCAGAGGTACGAGAGCAGGAAAGTGTCCAGGGAGTTGGGGTGCAGAGGGGGGTACCCTGCAGTGTCACTGCTCGGACTTCCCCTCCGGAGTTCTCGTACGTGACGACGTTTGCGGTCGTACTGTATGAAACAACCCCCGTACCAACGCCGACAGCCGCTTGCCAGGGCCCAGTACGGAAGTTGCAGCTGTCCGCGCCGCGCAAGTCCCGTACAGTTATTTACGGGCCGGAGGCTGTGATGGCGCTCCGTAAGGAAGCGAGTACAGCGCACTTGTGCTGGTCTGCTGTGTAATAGTGGTCTCCGTGAGCCCCTGCACAGAGCTCCGCCTCACGCTTCTCATCGTCACCCACGGGGGTACTTTTACCTTCCTCCTCCACGTTGGTATTACCTGAGGGGCTATATTCTTGCATCTTCTGATTAAAGAGCCGCACACATGCCCGCTCTGTAACGGCACAGTGGGGGGAACCGCTGGGCAGCTGCCCCCAGGATCAGGACGCACCTTAGCTTTGTCACCTCTCCCCGCTCTGAGGTGGTGGACCTGCTGGTGGCCATGTGCAGGGCAGCGCTGGAGTCCCCTAGGAAGAGCATCATCTTTGAGCCTTACCCCTCCGTGGTGGACCCCACCGACCCCAAGACTCTGGCCTTTAACCCGAAGGTACGGTTGTTCGGGGAGTCAGGGCAAAGGAGCAGAAGGGTCAGAGGGTGGGGCGCCGGCTGCTGTGCTGGTGCAAGGGGCAGGGGAGTGGGGCGCTTGTGCTTGGGAGCGCTGGAGCCTCAGGGTTTAGCTGGTTCAGGACGTGAGGAGGGCTGAAGAATAGACGTGAGTTCTGTCTTGCTGGGGAGGAATATAGGCTTTGGGGCTGGTCAGGCGTGGATGCGCTTAGCTTTTGCTGCTCCCTAGCCGAGCCGTGTCAGACCTCAGCCTTCCTGCACCTCCACTTTATTACCGTGAAAAGGGAATGATCCTTACCTTGCGAGCTATTCTAGAAATGGGAGATGGTGTTTGTGAAGTACCGCAGTAGTCAGGGATCAGTGCTCCAGAGAAACAGAACCAAGCGAGGCTGTGCCTACATAGGGAGGAGGCTTGCTGGGAAAGGCCTCTGGCAGTCAGCAGGCTGGAAGCCCCCGAGAGCCGGTGGGGTAGCTTCCATCCTTGTCTAAAGGCCCACCCCTCAGAGCTGATGGCAGAAGTTCTGCTACCAAAGCCAGCAGTCTTGAGAGCCAAGAAGAGCCGTTTTCATTCAGATCCAAAGGCAGAGAAAGACTGTAATGCTTGCTCACATAGGGGAGGGGTCAGCCCTGTTTTCTGCAGATCTTTGGTCAATTCGACGAAGCCTCCCACAGCAAGGGCAGTCTCCATGCTCAGCCGCTGACTCGAGCGTGGCTCCTGGCCCAGGCCCCTGTAGGTGCTCTCAGAGGTGACGGGGCAGGAGCTGTCACCCTGTGGCCCTGTCGTTCTGGCATGTGAGGCTGACTTCATGGACACCCAGCACGAC